GGGAGGGGACTAGCACCAGACCTCTCTAGTCGGTTACCTTGGGAAACTCCACAGTTGTTTTCTTAGTTCTAGTTTATTAACCTTATTTCCTGTCCAGTGGGGGAGAGGTAATGTATCAGTCAGGATGCATTTTTTGGCCTTGATCAGGGGCGTAAAGCTATCTGGGCTCTGAGTCAACGTTTGTGCTTGGGCTTATTTGTTTTGGTGCAGGGTGGCCTCCACAGCTCCCTCCAGCAACATCCCTCCAGGGCTCAAAAGCAGGAATCAGAAGGTGGTATAGGGCAGAGAGGGTCTGCCTGGGCGCCTCGCTCAGAAGAATCCCAAGCATATCTCCTTATATGTCATTGACCGTGTCTGGATCATGTTGCCATACTATCCACAAGGAAGGATGGAGATGTGGGTATTGGATTTTCAAGGCTTCTCTAGTGGGAATCAAGCAAGAGAGAAGGTGGTTGAGAAATACTTTTGGGTATCCAGTCAACTCATTTCTCCCCAAAAGACAAATAAAATAAGGACAGTTTAATATAAAAATTATTTATAGATTTATATACTTGCATTGGATGGTTATTACGTTATTATCTGCACACACACACGTACATCCAGAGAAAATATTTACTAGGATACTTCTGTGTGTGTGTGTGTTTGATCCCTGTGTGACAAAAAAAAATGGGAATAACATTATAATTTGATATGTTAAAAAGTATTATCCACCTTAAATGAAATGAAAACCTAACAAGCTATTTTTGCAAACTTTTAAATTTCATGTGAGAATGAAATGCACTATATACCCTTATGATAATATATTATGTATTGTGTATGTAATCAGTAACCTACCAGTTTAAAACTTATGTACCTGTTTTTATTTAGATGAAGTTTTGAATATTATTGAAAATGAAGGCTTTAAAATACTGATGCAAAGACAAGTAGTATTATCAGAAGAAGAAGCAAAAACACTGTGTAAGGAATATGAAAATGAAGACTATTATGGGAAACTTATAGAAAACATGACCAGGTAGAGTTCAGCTTTAGAAAGTGGTCTGGTTTATTTTTGAGTCATTTAAAATTTCTCTTAACTCTGCTTTCTGTTCAAGTTGCCAAACCTCTCAATTCTGTAAATAGGTTCTTAGTCTATTTCTTACATAAGTCCCGCTCCCATCACGATTCTCTGCTCAAGTCTTCCTTAAATGTCACTGGAGCGATGGGAAGGTGCCAGGGGAAGTTGCTGGAGTCCAGCTGGGTTGAATGCCAGAAATCCAGGGTATGCCACATCATCCAACTGAAGCAGAAGACTGACCAACCCTCAAGGCCTTTGTAATCCTGCAGATCACTAGTTCTAAGGGAAGAATGACATACTAGAAATCGGTCTGGTTTCTAGAAAAATAACTGAAATAGCAACTGAGGCAGAAATCCAGACAGCACGGGAACAGTGAAGAAACCACCTGCAAGGACCCAGACCCTCCTTTCCCCCTTCTTTCTCCGCTTCCACCCTTTACACATGTGCTCTTGAAGTATACCAACAGAAATTAACTACAGAATGCTGTAAAGGGATTATTTTGACATGTTTTCAGTATACTTATCAGCATACATTTATATTGCCTATATATAATTAGCTACTGAGCCATACTTTTATCATTTTTTATTAGAAATTTTTTACTAATTTTTCTCCTTTCTAACAGAGGTCCATCTCTCGCCCTTGTTTTATTGAGAGGCAATGGTTTGCAACACTGGAAACAGTTACTGGGTCCAAGAACTGTTGAAGAAGCCAATGAACATTTTCCACAGAGGTAGGATTTGTATCATCAGTCCCTAACTTTTTTCATGGGATCCATTTTAATTTCTGTTTAGGTGCAGGGCACAGGAACCACAGCTCTAGTCCAAGGGAGCTTCTCCAGAAAGCCTCCTTCCTGGGCAACGAGTGGATTGCTTATGAGTGGAGGTCCAGCCCAATGCGCAGGGCACAGGAACCACAGCTCTAGTCCAAGGGAGCTTCTCCAGAAAGCCTCCTTCCTGGGGAACGAGTGGATTGCTTATTAGTGGAGGTCCAGCCCAATGTCCACCTGAAGATAGCCAGAGTTTTGCATGAGAAGGTTGTGGGATGCTTGGTTTGGGGATGGGTGCTAAGAAGTGGGTACCCAGCTCACAAGCCATCTCTTGGGAGAAATATCCACCCCATCTACAATTTAGAAGAAATTCCTTTGAGAAGGGCCATGGCAGCAGCTGCAGGATCTTTAGTTGATCACAAGAGTTTCAAGACAATGATAACTCACTAAATTTGCAATTTGGTGGAAACACTTACTGAATTAGTTCACTGATGAGTCTCAGAAATCAGCTAAACTTTGTAATTAGCCCAACACTAGCATATTACCTGGCACATGGGGGTACTCTTTCAATATATTTTTTATATCTTAGCTGTTGGGCTTGGTATCATCTGGAGGATGGAATAGTATCTCATGCATCTTCATACTTAGCATGTAGCTGATGTAAACAAATTGAATTTCAATTTACTTGAATTCTTGGTGCTGATTTCAGGGTAGGTTTCAATTCAGGGGAAGAGATACTCTCCCTTCAAGTGTGCAAGAACATGGACATTCTCTAAGGCACAGCAAACTTGACACACAGGTTGACACAATAAATAACAGTGCTTATGAAGCATCAGTGACATGAAATTTCAAGTGCTCTCTTTTGGGTAGAGTATACTTGAATCTGACTGGTTATGATCACGTTTTCCCCTAATTTAGCCCTACTCGCTTATGTCTTTGCTCATGTGCCAGACAATTGCGACAGATCCCCCTCATGCAAGATGCCCAGTGGATGCCTGAAACTGCTGAGAGTGCCAAACACTAACTACACTATGTTTTTGCATATAAGTATATACCTATGATGAAGTTTAATTCATAAATTAGTCATTTTAAGATATTAAAAGTAACCAATAATAAAATAGAACAATTATAAATATTGTCAGCATCAATACTCTTGCACTTTGGGGCCATTATTAAGTAAAATAAGGGTCACTTGCACACAAGCACTGTGACACTGAGACAGTCAACCTGATAACCGAAAAGGCAGCTAAGTGACTAAGGTGTGTATACAGCTCCTCTGTTTTGCTGTGCTTGCTCACCTGGAGGGTTCCACTGCAGTATCTCCTGGACTCAAGGTTTATAATTTGGTATCTTTGAAGTAGAGTCAAATGCCATCTAATGGGGGCCGGCCCGGTGGCGCACTGCTATAGTGCGCCGCTTGGGAGTGCAGCGGTGCTCCCGCCGAGGGTTCGGATCCCACATGCAGACCGGTTCCCGCTCACTGGCTGAGCGAGGTGCGGGAGCAACACCGAGGGTTGCGATCCTGTTGCCGGTCCCGGTCCGGTACGGGGGCGACGCTGAGGGTTGCGATCCGTTGCCGGACATGGAAAAAAAAAAAAAAAAAAAAAAAAATGCCATCTAATGTTTGATCATATTTAAAGGTGAAAGCAGGGGAAGAAATATTTATTGAGATTTCAATATGCACCACATATTTCAAATACATCATCTGATCGCATCTTCAAAATCAACTTCAAAGACAGGTTTTATCATTATGTTTATGTTTGAGACAACTAAAGCACAGAGAAGTTAAGTAACTGCCTGGTGTCACACAGCCAGCATGTAGTGCAACAAGGATTCTACCGTCTAAGCTTTCTCACTTCACAGGGCATCCATTCGTTTTTTCACAGGTGTCTGTCAGTACCCAATACCATGATGATTTGAATGTTCACATCCTTCCTAATGAATATCACCTCCTTGAAAGGAAGCAGCATGCCCCAGGCCAGTCTGTAATTACTTCCTTTTGCACAATGCCTAGATGTGGAATGAGTGGCCTGATAACTTTTGAACAACTTATGTAAACAGTGTTATGTTATGATGCTATGTTATAACAGCTTTTGAACCTGCCTTTTTTTTCAAAGTTTATGTGCACAGTTTGCAACGGAAAGCTTGCCTGTCAACCAGCTGTACGGAAGCGATTCATCGGAAACCGCTGAAAGGGAAATACAGCATTTCTTTCCTCCTCAGAACACTTTAGCAGTGATTAAACCTCATGTAACACGTGAGCAAAGAGGTAGATATTTAAACATAAAAGCAAATCTATACATTTTTGTCCAAATTTTGTGAAAGTTTTCAAAATTCATAAATGGAAGGACAGACAACAGAAAAGAAATAGAAATTTCAAAATCAGGAAAGTTGAGAGAATAATGAATCCTTCCATCCCTACCCAACAATTAACTTTGTCGTTTGCGATCTTCATCTCTCTCTGTCCCTCCTCATCCTTTTCTCTGTCTCTCTTGTCATCAAAAATGGCATTGAATATTGCTGAAGTTATATCCAGAGTTGATGGAGATGATGGTATTTTTCTCCATAGATAATATTAATATGGAAAATTATGTTAATGAACTTCCTAACATTCAACCATCCTTTCATACCTGTATAAACTCCATTTAGTCATGATGTATTTTTTAATATGCTTTTGAATTCTATTTGTTTATATTTAATTTGAGATTTTTTGCTTTGAAACTTTTTTTATTGAAAAGTATTGATTAAACATATTGGTGGGGTACACAGTTGAATTTCAATTTCAATACATGTATACAAAGTGTGATGATCAAATCGGGATAATTAGCACATTCATCATTACCAAACTGAATCATTTCTTTGTGAAGAGGACATTTGACTTCCTCTCTTCTAGCCATTTGATAAGTGCATCGAAACTTAAAAGTGAGATTGACCTGTACTTTTCATTTTTGGTGAAGGTATTATCAGGTTTAATAACAATGGAATACTCATTAAAAATGTGACCATCTTTTTTTCCAGTGCTCTAAAAGAATTTTAGCAGCACGCGAGTTGGTATTTGGTTTGCTAGAATTTTTCTTTGAAAACATCTGAGCCTGTTGCTTTGTTGTGAGATAATGTTCTGGCCACTTTCTCTGTTTCTTCTATGGTAATTGATCTGTTTAAACTCTCTCTCCTAGAGTTAATTTTGTTAAATTATATTTTCCTAGGAAATGATCCATTCCATCTACATAGTTTGCAAAGTAATCTCTTATAATTATTACATTTCCTCTGTTTCAGTGGTTATTTCTACTTTGCCATTTCTTATTTTGTTTTCTTTCAAACAAGAATTTGATTTATGAGTTCTATTGTTTTTCTCTTTTCTAAGAAATTATTTTTGTTTTTATCTTTATTATTTTCTTTCTTCTACTTTCTAGTAGTTTTCTGATAGTGTTGTTCTAGCTTTTTGAGTTGGATATTTAATTCATTTATTTTCATTCTTTTATTTTTATTGATATAAAATTTTAAGGTTATACATTTTCCTCTGATTATGGCTTTAAGTGTAGCCCATAGATTCTAATGCATAGCATTTTCGTTATCATTATTTTTTAGATATTTTCCAATTTTGGTTTGTTTTTCCCTTGGGACTTTGAGTTATTCAGTAAATAAATTTATTTTCAATGAAGTTTTTTAAAAACGTATTCTGGTGGAAGAGAAATTTTATTTTGTTATTACTATCTTTAGTGTGTTGTGGTTAGGGAATGTTGTTTGCATTATTTGTTTATTGAAATTACATTTTTTTGTTTAACTATCATATGATAAATTTTTGTGAAGATTCTGTGTGTGTGAGAAAATAGAGTGTTCTCTAATATCATGGTGTGAAGTTTGAATATAAGACTTACCTTGCTGTTTGCTGGGTGCATATCTTCTTTATTTTTTGCCAGCTTGCTGTGTCTTTGTCTCCTGGTGATGGGGTAGCCACCTGTTTTTAGTATGCTGCTCACTGTTCTGCAGTTTCTGATTTATAATGATGGCTGTTGTGTTCATAACTATTTACGGTGAATTTTGGCATTTAGTGTTTGTCCCACTTAATGCTTTGGAACCTCAACTCTACCCTGTTTGACATCAAGACCACACACTCTTCTTTCTTATTACTAGCATTTGCCTGGTACATTTTTTTCTACTTATTTTTAGACTTCTTGAATCACTTTGTTGAGGTGTATCTCTTATATACAGAATAAGGTTGGATTTTTATTTATGAATCTCTTTGAAAATACTTTAATAGGCGAGATAAACTTTTTACGTTTTTGTGAAATGGCATGCCTTACTTAAACTCTGTCATTACTTTAAATTATGCTTACTTTATGTGTTATTTTTCATGTACTGTCGTTTTGCACTGTGGGTCTTTTCCAGTTTCTTTTGTGTTTGAGAAGTTTGTTTGTTCCAGCAGTTACTTTCATAGAAACACCTGAGTCCTCTTTCCTTACTTGAGATTCTATTTGTTTTTTCTGCTTTAAATGATGTTCAATGACCTTTGTGACGATTAGTGGACTACTTTTTTTTCCTCTCCCTATTCTCCCATCTTTTAAAGTTGTGTTAAATATACTTTGTTAGAAAATACATTATTTATATATTTGCTGGTTATAATATTCTAGCCTCACAGTTTTTCCTTGAGTTACTTTTTGTTCTTGCTTTGTGTATTGCCCTTAAGAGATCTGATGCCATCCTGATTTTCCTTCCTTTTTAAATGAAATGGTGTTTTGCCAGAAGAATAGGGAAATTTTTCTTATCTCTCTAGTAGTTTTACTAAAATATTTCTGAGATTTGACTATTCTTGGTTTATTTTTCCAGTTCCACATTAGCCCCTTTCAATGTCTGGATTAATGTCTTCATTTATTCCAAGATGGTTTTTTCGGCTTATAACTTCAAATATTAGTTCTGTTCAATTGTTCTGATTTTCTTCTTTACTGGACTTCACTGGATATAAGAGAGGATTCTGTCAAGGTTTCTGAGGGTTTGGATTGACTTAATTTGTAGTTCAAAATATTCTCTTCTTCTGGTATGATGAAGTCAAATTTCTTAAATAAATATAAAATATTTAATTTTATATATACACATATGTGTACATAGACACACATACGAATACACACACAATTTGCGTAACTTCTACATCCATCACTTTCCCTATTATAGTCTTGTTATTTGTTTTTCCTGCCTTTGGCTATTTTTTTTTCCTGTTCTCTGTCTCCTTAGGGTATGTTAACTCATATCCTCTATTAGGGCCTTTTAGTCTTTATTCCTGTTTATTTATTTTATCTTTTTCTTTAATTTTTTTCTTGAGAGC